CGTGAACCTCAGCGTTAGAGGGGCGTGTATAATTGTTCCCAGTAAAATCGACTTGGCGCATGCTTCCAAACAAATTTTGGTAGCTTAAGTGGACAACGGTACAACTGCCTTGACGACACCGTTGGTTTCGTTTGCGTTGCCGAGCCTGCCATTTGATCTAAAGTACGACACGCATACCACGCAGCGCTTCATCAACCAAGTATGTCGGTCCCTGAACTTTGCTTATGTCTACCTCGATGGAACCTCATTTGCGATTTCGTCACGCGAAGAGCACTTAAGCTACTTTTGAAAGCTGCGTGCCAGGGTTCGTTACTTCGTGGAACGATGGTCGTTTATCTGCGGGACGAGGGCTCTTTTGACGCGGGAGGTGTGCTGCGGGGTAGAGAGACAACTCCCAAGCGCACCGCTTGGCTGTGGCGTTGGTTGTTACCCTGTCTGCATGTACCTGGGCTAGCCAAATTTTCTGATGTCCGACAAGCCCGCCCCAACTAATCTCTAAAATGCACACAGCCCCGTAATAAAAAGTAAAGGTTTACATACAGCCCAGTGGACACCGACTACCGGCAAAGCCCTATTTGACACGAACGTTCACTCATACTTACTTGGCACGAGGTTGGCCTACGAACGTCGAATCGCCACGTTATTTTGATATGGAAGGCTTTATAAAAATAACTAAATAAACAGGTATATTTCTAGACTGGCTAAAGGCTGCACCATGAAGTGTTCAGAGCAAGCTTTACATTAATTCTATGCGCTTGCATGGAGCTTGGCAAAATACGAGTATTGGTTTCTAGTTAGCAATTACAAATGCATTGACACTGTTCGGTGTACAGCTGCTGGGTTCGCAGGCGAATAGCTTGAAAGGTTTTTTGGTTCCATTGGGCGATATTAAGTACCTTGTACATTTGTTGTGAAATTTGCTCAGAGTCGTAGCTGGATCGTTTTTCTTTGGGACAGGATCCAAATCACCACAACTTCACCAAATGCAATGGACTATTTTGGTTCGCTCAGTTACCCCAATTATTGGTGTGTACATGGAAAAAGTCAGAGTGGCGGAATTATAAGGGATATGGAACGTCACAAAATGCTTATGATAAATGTACATGAAAATAAAAGCGAGTTGTTTGGTGACATAAAATGCGGCGTGCTTCCCTAGAAAAATACAAGTTTGCATACAAATATAGCCAAACAGCTTTTGCGCAGATATTGCTTTATGGCGCAAAATTTCAACCTGAGTAAATCACAGAAAACGGAAAACCTTTTCTAAGGTTAGATTACTGCGTAATGTTGCAAAATAGTGAGCCGATAAGGACAAGTTCTAACCGCTGATTACGTTTAGATTAAAAAATACAATGCGTGCAGTAGTTTGCAACTTATTCGCACTTGAATGATGGTCTACGAATTAGGCCACTATACCTGTTCGCTAAAATTGACTTTCTGCTTTGCAAGCAGGTAGCAGAAAAAAGAAAAGAAAATGTAAAATGTGGCGAAGCAGTATACTTTCTAATTAGGCATCGATATCCAGAAATGCTCTAAGTAGCCCGTTATACCCCGTAGCAGCTAGGAACTTCGTAGGTGGCCGAAAAGTACACTTTGCGGACATACATGGCAAGTACAGACAAATAAGCTATAATTTTGCTCGAAATCACTAGAAATCTATTATGGAATATTACGTTTGAATGGAAATTCAGGTGCGCTTATACTTAACCCACGGTTAGAAGACCTCAGCATACCATTTTCAGTGGATACTGAGTAACATAACCCATTAGGAATATAGTGTTTCGTAGTTTATAAGCTTCTAATTGGTTTTGAATTTTATATCAAGGCCGCATAAGTTAGGCCTACCTGAGTAACACAGGAGAACTTTCGTATTAGTTGACACATTTTGGCCTGGGAAATACACACATTATTATAGCTAAACAACGCAAGTTTTATTACTTTGAGCCAATTTTCCATCTTCGTGAGGCAAGGTCTCCAAAGTCAGTGAGCTAGAGGAGCCAGTCACTAATAATGAAGCAATGAGTACAAGTTTAGAGGGTTGCCTATTCCGGGAGCCCAGAGAGCGATTCCAGAAGACAGATCGAGTTGCAGGGAAACTTTTATTGGTTCAGCAAAAGATTCCCTGTTAGCTAGCTATAAATGAACGACACCGTGGACGCTCTAGCTAGGGGAACGGATCAAGCACAGCACACAGAGCAGTCGCGCGTTGCAACCGAAGCGAGCGCCAAGCAAAAATGGCGATGAGCAAGTAAAGCATTCGAACTCAGCAAGCAGTTCAACAAACCACACCGGTTGCCTAAGTGTACAATTAAAGAATTTTGGTTAGAATTTTACACAAGCAAACCGGGGAATCTCCAGACTGCTACATAGCCCTCTCCCAGAAGGGACTGTGTAAGCAGTCCTTCGATCTACGTGAGGACTGTCCGTCGCGGGCCAGCCTTCTGCGAGACCAGGTTGTGAAACCCGATGCAGCTGCTGGGGGAGAACCATGCAATCGGACCCTAGCGGGCTCCCACCCGTGTCCTCCCTACGGTGTCGAAACGGTAAAAAAAACTGTTTGTAGGGGGGGACAGTTAATAAAGTTCACGTAGGCGGTTGAACAGGAAGTTCGTTCTACTTCCAGTTGACGCGCGGGGATCCAGCGGAAAGTGAAACCGAGGTGCAACCAACCGACGGGGTGTATATGAAAAGCAAATGAAAAAGCAGCGTAAGTGCATAGCAATACACAAAAGAGTGTAAAGCGAAAAACGTGCAAAGCTGTTTTGGTGTTTTCAAAAGGTTTTGCTCTTTTTTGGTAGTTTCAAAACGTTTTGGTCTTTTTTTGTAGATTTTCAAAAACGTTTAGTAAGAAAAGAAAATTTCTAAGGCACGTTCTACGTAAAAAAGTAAGTGCGAACGGAGTCCGAAAAACGAACCTTAGGTTTGAGCTTCCTACCGCGTTGATTGAGAGTAGGGCGGGTAGGAGTGCTGTCGGTTGTGGTTGTCGGTTCTGCTGGAGCGGACTGACTCGTCTGAGGTTGCGGTGCCAGCTGTGATGGCACAGGCTGTGAAGGTGCTTGTTGCACCGGCGAGTCAGACTTGTCGAAGAATGCTGGCTTGAGTCGATCAATGGTGATCGTCTCAGTGGTGTTGCGTCGTGGCTTGCTTATGTCGGGATCAGCTTGTTGGGCAGCAGCCATAGGCGGCTAGATCAATGTTTGTGCCAGGCGATAAGCTGATCTGCTGAATGCGTGAAAGCGCATCCGCGACGGGATTGAGAGCACCTGAGACATGACGTACGTCTGTCGTAAACTGAGAAACGTAGTCTAGGTGTCTAGTTTCCCGCGGCGAGTACTTGTCTGTTGCGCCATTGATTGCGTAGATCAATGGCTTGTGGTCGGTGAAGACGGTGAAATGTCGACCTTCGAGGTAGTGACGGAAATGTCGGATACCTAGGTAGATAGCTAACAGTTCCCTACCGAAGGTGCTGTATCGCGATTCGGCAGGTTGTAAGCGCTTTGAGAAGAAACCTAGAGGTATCCATCGACGGTCGATGAGTTGTTGAAGAACTGCACCGACGGCAGTGTCTGATGCGTCAGTCGTCAGAGAGAGTGGTGCAGACGTGTCTGGATGGGCGAGAAGCGCTATGTTGGAGATAGCGTCTTTAAGCTTCTCGAAAGACAGTCTAGCGTCGTCTGGAAAGTGAAAAGAGCGTTGTTTACCGCGGAGCAAGTCAGTCATTGGTTGGACAATGCTCGCGCAGTTAGGTATAAAGCGTCTGTAATAGTTGACCAGGCCAAGGAATCGGCGTAACTGCTTGAAGGAACTGGGAGCAGGATAGTCCTTCAGTGCCTGGATTTTGTCTGGCAGGGCTTCGATACCAGAGGCAGATATGCGGTGGCCAAGAAAGTCGATGGAACTTTGGCCAAGCTCGCATTTATCGGGGTTGACGGTAACCCCATGCTGCGTTAAGCGTTGGAAGAGTGCGTCGAGGTGACGAAGATGCTCCTCGTCAGAAGAGCTGGCGATGAGAATGTCATCTAGATAAGGATAAACGCCTTCGAGTCCTCGTGTTACCTCATGAATGAAACGCTGAAAAGTTTGAGCAGCGTTGCTGAGGCCGAAAGGCATTCTGAGGTACTCGAATAGGCCAAATGGCGTGATGACTGCTGTTTTAGCAATGTCATCTGGCGCGACAGGTATCTGATGATAGGCGCGAACTAAGTCGACTTTGCTGAAGATAGACTTGCCAGCTAGAGCTGAGGTCAAGTCGTGCATGTGCGGGATAGGGTATTTATCCGGGACGGTAACTTTGTTAAGTGCCCTGTAGTCACCACAAGGGCGCCAGTCACCGGATTTCTTCGGCACCATGTGTAATGGTGATGCCCATGGACTTTTAGACGGGCGGATGATTCCCAGTTCGAGCATTTGCTCGAATTCCGCCTTAGCAGCTTTGAGCTTGTCCGGGGCTAGTCGGCGAGGGCGGGCCGAAACAGGTGGGCCCTTAGTGCAAATGTGATGCGTGACGTTTGACGTCACAGGAGGCAACTCGTTCAGGACGCGAACGAGTTTAGGGTGCTTGCTGAAAAGTTCTAGAAAAGGCTGTGAAGCTTGAGGTAGGACACGAATGGGAGTGATAGCAGCCACGTTGGCGCTAGTCCCGATAACACTGAGCTGTGTCCTAGAGTCGATAAGCTTCTTCCTTTTAGCGTCGACGATGAGGTCGAAGCGTTGAAGAAAGTCTATGCCTATGATGGCGAAAGGCACAGCAGCGATTATGAAAGGCCAGCGAAAGGTTCGCCGGAGGCCTAAGTTGAGCGTTAGCAGCTTTTCGCCGAAAGTTGCGATTGGTGTGCCATTGGCGGCACGCAGCTTGGTCGGCGATGGTGAGACGACCTCATCTGAGCTACGGGGTATGACGCTAACTTCGGCACCAGTGTCGACTAGAAACTCGATGCCGGAAGTTAAATCCCTAACACGGATGAGGCGACTTTGGTGTTGGCCGGTCGCGTCCGTCGCCGTTACCGACCGGCCGCGAAGTTTCCCTGCTTCTCGGCGAAGTTGCAAGGCTTTACACATTTATGAGCTGCGGTACCAAAGCGCTGATGATACCAACAGCTAACTTGCCTGTTGCTAGACCGAGAACGTTTGGAGGGCGATTTTGAGCGGCTAGGACGACGACGGGTCATAGTAAGCTGTTGCACCTGGCGACTAAGTGTCGCAACTTGTGCTTGCAGGGCTTCTATGGTTGACTGTAAGCCAGTGATAGAAGTGCCCTGGGACGCGACGGCATGGACCTTGCTGGCGTTGGCCTGTGGCTGTGATCGTTCAATAACTCGATCCGCTAAGTCTGCTAGTTGAGTGAGCGGAACGGAGCTCACTGTAGCGAGAATCGCTTGTGTGTTTTCCGGTAGCCGTTGTAGCCATAGTTCACGAAGTAAAGTCTCATCCATGGTTGAAGAACCAAGGAGTTGCTGCATCTCTCGTAGCAGGGTTGAGGGCAGTTTGTCGCCCAGCTGCAGATCTCTGAAAAGCTGTTGAAGGCGAACTTTCTCAGAGGGCATAACACGCTTAATCGTGGCCTCTTTGAGAGCCTCATAGCGGTTTTCGGTCTGAGAAATGATGACGTCACGAACCTGCGTTGATATCTCCTTGGGGAGATAGGACAGGAGCTTGCAATACTTCGCGTAGTCGGAAGTGATTTTGTGGTTATAGAACTCGGCCTCAAGAAGAGCGAACCACAAAACAGGATCCATATCCCAAAAAGGTGGAACTGAGAGAGATACAACACTAAGCATAGACTCTACCTTATGGTCTACAGATTCCATGATTTGAAAAAATGACGCGAAAAATAGGCTACCGTATGCAAAAATAAAACCGGAAAATATGAAAAATAAATGGAACGAGCTCACCAGAGAAAAGTTCGAAATATCCGGCGTTGAGATTGTTCCGGATCCGGGGTCACCAATTTAGAGGGTTGCCTATTCCGGGAGCCCAGAGAGCGATTCCAGAAGACAGATCGAGTTGCAGGGAAACTTTTATTGGTTCAGCAAAAGATTCCCTGTTAGCTAGCTATAAACGAACGACACCGTGGACGCTCTAGCTAGGGGAAACGGATCAAGCACAGCACACAGAGCAGTCGCGCGTTGCAACCGAAGCGAGCGCCAAGCAAAAATGGCGATGAGCAAGTAAAGCATTCGAACTCAGCAAGCAGTTCAACAAACCACACCGGTTGCCTAAGTGTACAATTAAAGAATTTTGGTTAGAATTTTACACAAGCAAACCGGGGAATCTCCAGACTGCTAAACAAGAAAAGTTAGTAAAGTTTAGCAAGTTGCTTTGTGGCGTGAAGTGAGATACAGCTTCATATTTATACACTTGTCAACCGTCATATAGTAAAGTTCGCATTTTTCATCAATTTACGAAAATACCATGTAACGCGCTATCCTTCTGTTTTTGGTATTCCTTAAAAATCACCATTAACTTTTCCGAGTAGCAATCTAAATATGCATATATCTAGAGAACAAAGATGTCAAATGTCTAGATGGACAACAGCCCGTATTTAGAAGCTTATCGGTGACGAACACGACCTTCCCTTCGCAAACAGAGTACCAGTAGTATGTCGTAGCCATTCGACTAAACTTCTGGGCACTAGTGGATAGCTTCGATGTCCAAACGAAAAAACCACGAAGACAAATGACGAAACTAGTCACGATAATGTAAAAAAGAAGGAAGCAAAGATTGATTGAACTAGGGAAATCTAGTCAAGGAGCAGGACACTTGCAGGGGAATATTAGAAGGCTGTAGCTACGAAACAGATAATGGCTATCTTTTGTGCGCTTTTTCATTGTTGGCCATAAGTACATTAATCTTTCTTGTTTGAATTTTCATACTAACCTGCCCGTCCCTTGACCATTTTGCAAGCCCCTGCGCTAAATTGTTGCTCTTGTCTCGTTTCATAGGTCCACCTCTCCTTGTAACATATCAAATACAATCCGCTGGGTCCGAATTTATTGCCTTTTGATATCCGCGCTTAAGGTCGCGCAGCGTCCCGGTATCGTATTTACTAGTCCCACAAATTAATAAAACCGATCCGTACGCGCAAAATTAGACTTTACACTTCGTTTGTAATTTTTCGTGCGCAATTTTCCTTGGTCATATACTTGTATTTCTTGATTTCTTTGTAATTTAAATAGGTTCACCGTGTTTTTGTTCATCTTTCTCCTTCTCGATTCACATTTTGGTAGCGTCAGTTGAGGCGTTTCACAGCATAAACATGTTACGTTGGCTGTGCTATGTTTCAAGGAACACGACATAGAGGTTCGGTTATCAATATGCGAGATCGAACTAGAAAATACAGACAGACTGACGTACCATCAGCACACACCACCCTTTTCATCATCGGTTGCGACGCCGGTAGTGGACATACTACTGTGCACAACGAATGAGGCAAAGTTTGAAACGGTGAAGCTACCGATTCTTAAAGTGGTACAGCCCAGAGCGCGAGCTCAAGTTACACTGCTTAACGTTCCAAGCTGGGGGATCGCAAAACATTGAAGTTGCTCCAAGAAGTTCAGCGCACCTCTAGTCCTTTATATTTGCGCAATGAAGGAATCTAGGAACTGTAGTTTGCACGTCTTCCAGAGCCGATGCCGGTAAGGCTGCTTATGTTTTTAGATAGGCTCCTGAAGGAATACGCTACCAAAGCGGATGCTGCATTAGAACGTCTTCCGCAGTAGACGACCAATAGCATCGGGGAGGTATTCTCACCGATGAAAAGCTAGTCTCATATTCGAGCAAATATTTAGGCCGATCTGACCTTAAAGACGAAGAAACTGTGCTACTTCGAGTCAGATTAGAAGCAATAAAGTCTTCGAAGCAGCCTATACCAAGTTCCGATGCAGACCTGGATTTGACTACCGTTTCTTTCAATTCTTCCGAGCATGCACCAAGTCCGTCGCTCTAGACAAAATGCAAAGCAATTTCTCTACCGGCTCTCAATCTGATAATAGCAAATCCACCAGAAATATGTTGGTATCACCATCAATATGGTGCAAGTGCTAGACGTTTTCGACCGCCCTGCATTAGGTGCGACACAACCAGTTCAGGTAAAGCAAATAACCCGCATACAAGAATGACAAACGTGTCCGTCAATAACCAAACAAATAGTCTATTTTAGGTTAAGAGTCGACGTTCTTCCATCACATCCGTCATGGACCCCGGAGCGGAAGCAAGCGTCCTTTCGGCGAGCACAATCAACCAGCACCCAAAACTTACGTACTACATGCGTACGGTCAGCCGTTCTCCGATAGCATCACTTATTCAGCGCAAGAGACATATGGCCCGCAACCGCTGCTGCTTTTATTGGGTCCTCCTAGTTGCGTCTGTACCCTTAGCAATTATCGGCATCAACGCCGTCCGACATTTTGCTGATGCTGGCCGCTACAGACTTTTAGCCGAACGTACAAAACTAATGGTTAAAGGCGTCCTTACGTAAGTCCCATAAACAGTCTCGTTTCTTGCATCGTCGACTGATATTCAGATTATGCGAACCTACTGCCTGTATACCCGCGACCGGTAGGACCAGCTGAAGAGTTCCGCTAGTCACGACAGAGGGCGCTCATTATTTGGCCACCCGCGGTCCTCCAACGAGTGTCCGAACAAGACGACTCCTAACTCACAATTTAAGCACCACAAGCGCTGAATTTGCTCAACTACTTCAGCTGGGTATTATAAGACTACCCAACAGCCATTGGCGTCACTTCTCTAGATGGTTCCAAAAAAGACTGTCGGAGACTGGCTTCCTTGCGTTGAGTAGCGAACTCCAAAAAACGTAACCACACCTAATCCCTATCCTATCCATCATATCGTGAACCTCAGCGTTAGACGGGCGTGTAAAATGGTTCCCAGTAAAATCGACTTGGCGCATGCTTCCTAACAAATTTTGGTAGCTTAAGTGGACAACGGTACAACTGCCTTGACGACACCGTTGGTTTCGTTTGCTTTGCCGAGCCCAACATTTGATCAAAAGTATGACACGCATACCACGCAGCGCTTCATCAACCAAGTATGCCGTTCCCTAAACTTTGCTTATGTCTACCTCGATGGCACCTTATTTGCGATTTCGTCACGCGAAGAGCACTTAAGCTACTTTTGAAAGCTGCGTGCCAAGGTTCGTTACTTCGTGGAACGATGGTCGTTTATCTGCGGGACGAGGGCCCTTTTGACGCGGGAGGTGTGCTGCGGGGTAGAGAGACATCTCCCAAGCGCACCGCTTGGCTGTGGCGTTGGTTGTTACCCAGTCTGCATGTACCTGGGCTAGCCAAATTTTCTGATGTCCGACAAGCCCGCCTCAATTAATCTCTAAAATGCACACAGCCCCGTAATAAAAAGTAAAGGTTTACATACAGCCCAGTGGACACCGACTACCGGCAAAGCACTATTTAACACGAACGTTCACTCATACTTACTTGGCACGAGGTTGGCCTACGAACCTCGAATCGCCACGTTATTTTGATATGGAGGGCTTTATAAAAATAACTAAATAAATAGGTATATTTCTAGACTGGCTAAAGGCTGCACCCTTAAGGGTTCAGAGCAAGCTTTACATTAATTCTATGCGCTTGCATGGAACTTAGCAAAATACGAGTATTGGTTTCCAGTTAGCAATTACAAATGCATTGACACTGTTCGGTGTACAGCTGCTGGGGTCGCAGGCGAATAGCTTGAAATGTTTTTTGGTTCCAGTAGGCGATATTAAGTACCTTGTACTTTTGTTGTGAAATTTGCTCAGAGTTGTAGCTGTATCGTTTTTCTTTGGGACAGGATCCAAATAACCACAACTTCACCAAATGCAATGGACTATTTTGGTCCGCTCAGTTACCCCAATTATTAGTGTGTACATGGAAAAAGTCTGAGTGGCGAAATTATAAGGGATATGGAAAGTCACAAAATGCTTATGATAAATGTACATGAAAATAAAAGCGAGTTGTTTAGTGACATAAAATGCGGCGTGCTTCCCTAGAAAAATACAAGTTTGCATACAAATATAGCCAAACAGCTTTTGCGCAGATATTGCTTTATGGCGCAAAATTTCAACCTGAGTTATGTAACGAAACCGAAACTGTAATGGGACTTTGAACGAACCGCCACTTTTAACTCTCTTTCTTCTTTCCTTTTTCAGACTCGAACACGTTGAACAATGAATGAATCGTTATGAACATGTTTCCCATTTGACGCACCTACGGACCTTTTATACCATCTTTGAACGACTTGCGTTTTGTTTTGTTTTGATTGTACCTTCGTTGTTGGTTGTCGGAGATACACGTTGCTGCTTTCTATCGTGTTCTTCCTTCCGTGGTCGGTGACTGCCCGATTGGTTGCATCTCTTCGTGCTGCGTTCGCTGGATATCGTGACGCTCCTTCCTCATCCGATTGCATGTGTTAACGCATTCATAGACTAGTCGAGTTACTGTCGTGTGTGTTTACTGTGCGCACCGTTTCAGCCCGATCGTCTCTCGGCATTTCAAATCTGCTCTGACGGAACCGTTACAGTAAATCACAGAAAACGGAAAACCTTTTCTTAGGTTAGATTACTGCGTAATGTTGCAAAATAGTGAGCCGATAAGGACAAGTTCTAACCGCTGATTACGTTTAGAATTAATAGTACAATATGTGCAGTAGTTTGCAACTTATTCGCACTTGAATGATGGTCTATGAATAAGGCCACTATACCTGTTCGCTAAAATTGACTTTCTGCTTTGCAAGCAGGTAGCAGAAAAAAGAAAAGAAAATGTAAAATGTGGCGAAGCAGTATACTTTCTAATTA